GCCCGCAACCCAGGTACATGCCCTTGAGCGGAATCGAACCTGGGACCTTTCAGTCCGCAGGCCAACGCTCTATCCACTGAGCCAAACCGGTTTCGGCTAATTGTATGTTTTTAAAACTAGATGTTTGCTCTTTAAGAAACTACAGAATATTAAAAACTTTGGATGTCTGTAAAATGAGATGATTTATATTACAGAAGGAATTTTTCTATAGGTAGGACTTAACATTTTTCATTATGAAGGGGGAAAAAGCTTTAGTGGGGACCCTTTGATAATGTGCTTTACTAGTGCATCAGATGTTTGAGTTAAAATAATTTGGTTTATAAGGAAGCTTTTAGGAACATCTCTATTATAGAGTTATACCTCCTTTGATTTGCCTAGGCACTTTATAAATGTGTTTATCTATAATAACAATACAGTTGACCCTTAAACAACATGGATTTGAATTTCACGGGTCCACTTACATGTGGATTTTTTCAATAAATATGTACAGTGCTTAAATTTTATTTTCTCATGATTTTTCTTTTCTTTTTTAAAAATATATTTTATTGATTTTTTACAGAGAGGAAGGGAGAGGGATAGAGAGTTAGAAACATCATTGAGAGAGAAACATCGATCAGCCGCCTCCTGCACACTCCCACTGGGGATGTGCCCACAACCAAGGTACATGCCCTTGACCGGAATCGAACCTAGGACCCTTGAGTCCGCAGGCTGACGCTCTATCCACTGAGCTAAACTGGCCAGGGCTCATGATTTTTCTTAATAACATTTTCTTTCCTCTAGCTTATTTTTTAATAACAATGCAGTATATAATATATATAACATACAAAATATGTGTTAACTATATGTTACCATTAAGTCTTTTTCCTGTTAATAGTAGGCTAAGCAGTTAAGTTTTCTGGGAAGTCTACAGTTATACACGGATTTTCATCTGTGTGGATGTTGGCACTACTCTGCCTGCCCCTATCACTGGAGAAGAAGTGTTAGCCCAGATCTCAGTCTGGGAGGTACCAGAGCATAGAAGCTATAAGTTCTTTTTGGAGCCAAACTACCTGGATTTTAAATCCTACTCTATCACTTACTGTGTGACTTGGGCATGATGCTTACCCTTCTTGTATCTCAGTTTCTACATCTATAATTTTTGGATA